CCATTACATTTCTACAGCCTAACCCTGACCACAAACCCTAAGGCTAACCTCACAGGCACAATGGCATTTAAACCAAATGGGGACTCAACTTTTGTCCCCACTCCCCAAATGCACCAGTTGTCCCCGAAGGTAGGCATTTTGTCTTAAAATTGCCCCCAAATGTCACCAGAAACACCCCCCCCCCACACACACACATTTTTGATTTGTGTGCACATTTCAGAGAAATTTCAAATTTCTGAGTTTTTGTTTCACAGAAAAGCACCCCACGTGCTCACCTACAGGCTTGAAAGCTGCAGTGAGGGCTGGTACATTCAGGTGAGAGGGCATTCTGACCTAACACACACACACACACGCGCGCACACACACAATCACACAGTAGCAAATGATCACTGGCCTATTGTCCTTGTTTAAACAGGATTCAAGAGACAGGCTGCAGAAATTCACAACTGTGGAGTTACTGATCAGGTACTACAGATGCATAACGCCCTCTTCTGTCGGTATCGCCCCCCTCACCGATCCACTGGACAGAACACAAGTACCACACAACTTTCTACAAGGTACAACACATCCACACAGGAACTGGTTGTAGTTCAGATGTTGCAATAAAAATCACTTCCGTCTACATGAAATCAAAGACAAACACTCACAGACAGCCTTGGCTGATGAGTCAAAAAGTGTGATTATCTCAGTGCTCATCACTGTTTCTTTCGTCACAGGAATCGTCTACTTGGAGATGAAGTGACAGCCGCTCAGCAATGTGAAACCATCTTTAAACCTGCAGACCCTGAAGCTCTTCAAGGACCTATTTATTTGTTCATTACAATTTGTCTTTTTTAGCAAAAGCTTTCAAAATTATTGTTTTTTTTGTTTTAACTTCTCTGTGTGTGTTTTTTTTATCATCTTTTTGCTGTATAAGTGCTGTGTGACTATGAGCTGTAATTTCCCATGTGTTTTTATGGTTTCCTTCAGTTGTGTGTCTTTATTCTAAACTCTATGAGGGTCAGGTTGTGAGTCAAAATAAGTGTCTGTTTTCACCATATAGATGCATTCCCTTGTTTTGTGACGCAGGACATGAGTTTTACCACTTTGTCTGCAGAGATGTGTGTGTGTGTGTGTGTTTGTGAGTGTGTGTGTGTGTGTGTGTGTGTGTGTGTGTGTGTGTGTGGGGGGGGGGGGTAGCTGTGTGTCTTATGATGTACATATTGCTCCATCCAAACCTGAATAAGCTACATCTTTTTCAGGGATGTCTCTGTTTCTTGCAGTAAGGTAATGTCAAGCAATGTTCTGCAAGTACTAGACTGGCCTGCCTGCAGTCCAGACCTGTCCCCCATTGAAAATGTGAGACACGTTATGAAGCGCAAAATACAACAAAGGAGACCCTGGACAGTTGAACAACTAGTTGTTCATCAGGCAAAGATGGGAAAGAATTCCACCTTCAAAGTTTCAACAATTAGTGTCCTCAGTTCACAAACATTTATTGTGTGTTGTTAAAAGGAAAGGTGATARAACACAGTGGTAAACATGACCCTGTTCCAGCATTTTTGGAATGTGTTGCAGGTATCAAATTCTAAATGAGTAAATATTTGCAAAAGAAAAAAATAAAGCTTATCAATTTGAGCAATAAATATCTTGTCTTTGTAGTGTTTTTAAATGAATATATGTTAAAAATGATTTTCAACTTATCATATTCTGTTTTTATGTTTTACACAACACTACTTGATATGAATTGGGTTTTTGTTTTCTGATTTTCCCAAGGAGCCTGCAGCATAGTTTCCTAATCATCAGCCATTAGTGTATTGAAGGAAAAATTGCAAATGATTAACTGAAAGCTAGATGCAGTATTGTATTTTATACTTTCTGATCATTGCAGCCGAGTTGGTGTGTTGCCAATGTGTTCCTTCGGTCTGTTTAAACAAAAGCTGGTTATGTAAAGGRACCTTCAGGGGTGGAACCAGGAAGAGACTGAAGAGGTTATAAGGTTGAATCATTATGATATGGGTAGAAGTTGTTAGTGTTTTMTAGAGTCTCTGTTAGATCCAATCTGTTTTGTTTAGGTTTTCAGACACGCTGAGGCCTGTGCTGTCTGTTTTGTGGTGAGACTGATTGGAGTCAGAGACGAGACTAACGTTTTGTTAGAAATCCAAGTGGGTCCTGACATTATTCAGACATTCCATTGTTTGAACGACACTTTTCTACAGTATAATCTGAATGTTACGACAACTAAAAAACAACTTAAAATGCACTGTTCTAAATATCATGCACAAACAAGTTTCAAAACATTTTATAGGTTGTAGTGAACTGAAAATGGTCATATGATGAATGAAGCTATTTCAATCAAAACATCTTAGGAGGTCAATTACATGTTGACAGGATCCATTGAGAGTTTCTGCTTGAATTTGTTTGCAGGTTGTCAGAATTGCCTCCAAAGGCTGCTGTTAGGATGTGACCTGCCTCCCATCCTCATGGATGTTTGGCTTGAGGATGCCCTAAAGCTGAGGTCAGGAGGCGGGGGAACAGCTTTCATTTTTCTCGTTTTATGTTCATAGCATCCAATGATGCAGAGGTATTCCCTGCAGCATGAGATGGTGCGTTGGAATGCATGAAGATGAATTTAGTCTTCATGTATTTCTGCGCCCACCTGAACTGTTTCAAGTCAAAGGTTTGTGCATGACTGCAAGCCTCTGGAGGACCCAACACCTCAATGTTGGCTGGACTCTAGGCAGCAGCTTCAAATACTGTATCTTGTTGCTGATTTATAATGGCATTTTAGCAGCTGCTCCCTTAAACTGATGTATTTCTCTGGCAGAAACCTTCACTCTGCCTTTATCAGCACTGTGTGCTCTGAGTCAGTCACAAATCTTTTAACAGTATGAAAACACTCAAGTTTTTCTGATATGTTTCCATCCCTTGCCCAAGGCATTCAACTATTTCACACTTTTCAGCAGCAGAGATCCTTGTTCTTACCATTACTGTTTGAAAATGGTGATCTGAATAATAATGTAATATCCTTTAGTTGTGTTTTTTTTTTAATTGGCTCACGTCAACTTATTCAACACAGGTGTCTGAGAGCCCTGAGACTCAAAACCAGCCATGAGATTAATTGACAAACAAACAAACAATCTTTATGACACTTATAATTTGGATAATAATTTGGAACAAAGTGTAGTTTCCTCTATTTTTATGTGCCCCTTTTGAAAAAGCCTTACCTCTGTGCCAACCCCTTACACAAGTCTAACTRCTGATTCTGTTTTGGTCTGCAGCTCCAGTTCAGACTTGTTGTGTTAGAATGGAAACAAATATTCTACCAGGTCAGACCAAGTGAGCTTGCCTTTTGAAAATGTTTACAACTTAAAGGTACAGTGTGCAGGATTTTGTCAATTCCTTTAGCCGAAATTGAGATAAACACTAACGACAATAATAAAAAACATGTCTAATCATTGCAGATGTAGCATTTTCCTGCATATAAATAATCATTTCTGATTAGATTTCACTTGTGACAACGGCTTAGGAAGGAAGAAAACCCCACTTTAACTTCAGACTACACTCACCGGCCACTTTATTAGGTACACCTGTCCAAC